TCTGAGTGCCTTCTCTTTATTGCGTCTGCTATGTGATTATCTTTCTGAAGTCTGTGTTGTGTTATGAAAGAGACAAGTTGAATAAACAGATTCTATTTTCGTCCGGAGCCACGGCTTGGGCAAGCGTTCTGAAATCTCTAAACCAGGATCCATCTCTGTCCTGCGCGCCTGTGCGTCTCTCTTCCGCCACACGGTGGTGACACACCTAAGCCACGGGGCAGGTCTCAAAGGCAGTTAACACGGAAGCCCCAGCACTGGGCACCGAGGGCGAGAGTGTGTCACTGACTGTCAAGATGCTTTTTGCTCTTACCCTTCTAAGATTCACGATCCGTGCCCAGTTATTTGTCTGATGTTCTCCTTTGACCCCGTAGCGGGATTGCCCAGTGGGCAGGGGCAGCCTCCACCCCCACCCCCGCTGGCCTGGTCCTGCAGCTCCTGGATTCACACTGCCTCTGCCCCCAGCTCTAAGGCCCGTTCCCGGATTCTGGTTCTGGTCTGCTCAGCTGGCAGCACCCAGCACTCAGGAACACGTAGACATGTGAGCAAAACAACCCTGCTTCCCCTGAGTTCAACTAAGGCAAGGCTGGAGGATTTCAAAAAGAACTCTTCCTTGGAGACAACAGCATAATATACACAACAGTTTAAAGAGGTGGATAAGTTCAGAGATTGGCCTGCAGACCAAGACTTGGGGATAAAATAGCAAAAGAGTGAGCAGTTAAGACCGGCTGGCAAGGCTCGCAGACGATCCAAAGCCTAATTTCTTCCCCACCTTGGAATCTAAGAATCTCGCAGAGCAAACTCGAACAAAGATAGCCCAGCTTCTGTCCCAGGATAGATTTTATGTGTAATTTGTAACCTCTGTTCCGAAGAAGATGTGGAGTGGCTTACGATAAAATGGTGTACGCAGCTGTGTGAAATCTCAAAGCTGCTAAAGAAGAAATTAAAAATGTGCAAATGTAGGCGAGAATATAAATAGGATATATCAGATTGATAAACAAAGACCATGTTGGAGCCTCAAATTTAGCACCAAGACCAGAATCCGGGGAAACCAACACAAAAAGGGAGACAGGATGTGTGACACATGGACGCCATCTAATAGAAAAGAAACAGACTTTTTCCAAGAAAGGCAAGCTTGCTCCTGGTACGGAATATTTATCACAGTAACTGGAGCATATAATTCAACCGTGACTTTACAGAACACACAGAAACTCTTCCATTCGGTTGATAACTTAGATCTGACGAAATCCTCACATCTTCCTGGAATTTGTTTCCATACCCATCACACCGTGTAGCATCTCCTTCTTGAGATCTCAGGTAAAGTGGGGAAACCCCCCGAACCTCCGCAGCAGAGGACCCTAGAGAGGGATGCCCAGGAAGAGTTAGCACAGCCTGACAAGGGTGTGTGTTCTGCACTGTTCCCCATCTCCCCTTTCCCAAATGGGAGCTTTCGGTAGACGGTCAAGGTGTTTATCTACAAGTATACGTTGGACGTATGGGAGGTGATTAATTACAAGTCACAATATGGAGAACTGTGTACGGCCTAGACTGAGAAGATGCCCGTCAACCAGAAATCCGGGACTCGTAGAGCAGAGCTTCCACGACTGCTCCTCTGTGCATGGTAGCAAGATGTGATTTGAGATTTTTCTCCCTTTGGGAAGGAATTGAATGCAGGTTGGGTTGCACTTGGGAGGCTCGTATTGTGACGTGTGTGGTGTTAGATTATTGTGATTTTAGAGATGTTTGTGGGTCTGTGCGCACAGGCACACGTGTGGTGGCTGAGCAGCCCAGGGGAGGCTGTCACGGACCTGTGTTCCTCTTCTCTCTCTCGCCCCCGATACCTGCTTATTCCATGTGGTCCACATGCCGGTGACACTCATCCCCGGTGCATCCGCACCTGCCCTCGATCCCCGTGCCAGGCCACAGTGGGAGGCATTTAACACAGACTCCGGCCTGGCGATGAGTCAAAATAACACCTAAGCGTAGTTTACAAAGACAAATAGTGGTACCGGGTGCATTTCACAGCAGGAAAGGGGACCCCCCATTGCCCGCCCTGCTGGCCTTCCCTCTCTTCTGAGGAAAGTACTTTCCGCTCTCTCACTTGTTTCTTGGGAATTTTACTTTCTTATTTCTAAACAATGTGCTTATACTAATATGACTTGAGTCGATGGCAGTGTCGGGTGTTATCTGTTAACTTCCTGCTGTGTAAGACCTTGCACTTACACTTTCCCTCTATGCGACCAATGGAGTCAAATCACAATGGTTAAGTCGTTACTCAGCATTTTCATCTTGACTCTGTCAATACTTTTAGCTGAGCCATGTAGCTTACTAGAATCAGATTTCCTTTCTCACACAGTAGTTTGTTCTTCCTAAACTTACTGTCATTTGTTTCCCTTTGCTTATCATAATTCTTGCCCTAACTTAGTTCAGAGCTAAGAAATTCCTGTGGGTATGGTGAAAAGCACATGAAATGCTCTGTCTTTATAATGTTTTCCTTGGGGGTCGGCCCTCCTGAAGCCCTCCTGGAGCTGAAAAATATCTTTATCCTACTTGCAGTGGAGTGATTGCATATATAGAATTTTAGGTTGGAAACAATTTGTGATCAGAATTTTGAAGGCATTTTTCATCGTCTTCTAGCTTTCCTTGTTGATATTGAGAAGTCCAGTGCCATTTTGATTCCCGAACTTTTTTATCTGTCCTGCTTTGCTTTTGAGAGAGCTTCCCTTCAGCTTCAATAGTCTAAATTTCAAAAGAGAAACCATCTAGTAACTTCTCCCCTCACCCTACACTATTGTGTTGGGTACTTTGTAGACCCTTCAGTCTGGAATTCATTTCCTTCAGTTCTGGGCATTTTTCCTTACATTAAAGCTTTGATAATTACCCCCTCTGTTTTCTCTCTTCTTTTCTTATGGTACATTCCTTAGTTGGAAATTGGACTTTCTGGTTTAGTCCTCTCACTTCCTTATTATTTTCTCTCCTGTTTTTCCTCTGTCTTTTTGTTCATTTGGGGGACATTTCTTCAGTTGCATCTTCAAATCCTCCCATTGATTTTCTTTATTGCTGCTGTCTTATTTTTAAACTCTCAAGTTTTCTGATTTTTTTTTTTGTTTTTTTTTCTGGTACGCGGGCCTCTCACTGTTGTGGCCTCTCCCACTGCGGAGCACAGGCTCCGGACGCGCAGGCTCAGCGGCCATGGCTCACGGGCCCAGCCGCTCTGCGGCATGTGGGATCTTCCCGGACCGGGACACGAACCCGTGTCCCCTGCATCGGCAGGCGGCCTCTCAACCACTGCGCCACCAGGGAAGCCCAAGTTTTCTGATTTTTAAAAGTTATTCTGGGGACTTCTCTCGTGGCGCAGTGGTTAAGAATCAGCCTGCCAGTGCAGGGGAAATGGGTTCGAGCCCTGGTCCGGGAAGATCCCACATGCTGCAGAGCAACTAAGCCTGTGCGCCACAACGACTGAGCCCACATGCCACAACTACTGAAGCCTGCACACCTAGAGCCCATGCTCCGCAGCAAGAGAAGCCACCGCAATGAGAAGCCCGTGCACCGCAATGAAGAGTAGCCCCCGCTCGCCACAACTAGAGAAAGCCAGTGCACAGCAACAAAGACCCAATGCACCCAAAAATAAATGTTAAAAAAAAAAGTTATTCTGTTCTAGTTTTATAGATACAAAACATTTTATATCTCTGAGCATATTAGTGTTTCTTTGAAGTTTTCTTGTTTGCATTGTATCTTTTTGCTGAATTCTTTTTTTTGTGGGGGGGGGGTATGATTGGGGGGGTTTCTTCTTTTTGGTCAAATATCCAGTGATGCTTGGCTACCCATTAATTTTTTAAGAATGAAGCACTAAGGAGACATCTGAAAGTTTTATACGCATGGGTAGGATGTGTTGAGTTGTAGGTTTCACAAGCGATTATCAGACAGGAAGGACCTAGTCATTTTATTGGGGGCCCCAAATGCTAGTGTCTGTAGGCCTTTTCTCTTTGGTTAGTCCCTTTCTGCTGAGAAGGGGTCCTGTGGTCTCCTGCCTGGAGAATAGAGGCGTAGCTGCTAGCATTTGGGAGCCTAATGCAGGAGGGGGCAGCAAACTCACCATCCCATGTGAAAATGTGTATTTGGTCTCCTATTTTCAGCCTCTCACCTTATCCCTTCCTAATTCTGCACCTGTTGCCCCATGTTCAGAACTCCTCTGGTCCCATTCCTCCACTGACCCTCTTTCCTGAGAAGACAGTGCACAGGTAGCGTGGCTGGTTGTGTGGGGCAATGGAGGAGGTCTGAGGTGTAATTGGTCCTCGTGTAGTCTTTAAGCAGCCCCCCTGTTTTTGGCTCTGCTTTCAGAAGTACCTGGTGCCTCCCATCCCTGAGCCTTGCCAAAGATCTGGCCCAACAGCCAAAGCCCTCTTGGATTCCCCCCCCGCAGTTTGTTTGTTTCAGCACCTACCCTCACTCATCCATCATTTACCCCTGTGCTTTCTGTCTTCCAACACTGTATTGATACGTCTGTTTGGATATCATTTTCTCCCCTAGTCTTTTGGGTTATGGGTTTATACCATTTGTCCCCCTCGAGGTGGAGTCGGGGAAGGGGCAGAGGTAACCACGGGTGTTTGATTTGCTGTGTTTAACGGAACCAGCATGTCGCATAATCGCACCCTACAGTCTTCATTACAGCCCTGAGGTCGATAGTGTTATTCCCATAAGGCAGATAGGGAACCAGGAACCCCCAGAGGCGAAGGCCCTTTGTCACGGTCACTTAGCTAGTCAGTAGCCGAGCAGAGATTTCAACCCAGGTGAGCCTCTGAACCTCACACTCCTCCGCCCACATCACACTTCTTCTGATTCTCCAGGATTGCTCGGGGATTCCTTCTTAGCACACTGAACAATACTCATCAGGACTGCATACCGCGCACAATCCCAAGGGACAATGTAGTTCGGTTAACGGGGCTTTTTTTTCCTCCTTCCCTTTGTTCCCCGAAGCAATTATTTCTTTATTTCATTTAAAGACTCGGCCTCCACAGCTGCTGCGGACAGCTTAGAGTTGTCTGAAGGTTGAAGACAAGAACCAAGCCGCGAGCTTACGAGCCATCAAACTTGAAAGATGTATTGAGGTGAAATACTGCTGCAAAGCCTCCCCACCAAACCTTTTTTTTTTTTAAGTGCTTTTTTTTTCTTTCCAAAATGAAAAAGAACCATTTGTACTATACATGCATTAAAAAACCCTGCAGCTCACGCACATAAAAATCTTCAGCTCTGGCGCTGTTCAAGACAAGATTGTTTTGGTAACTGCCCACCCCACCCCAATAGAGCAAACAGTATAGTCTTCCGAAGCCAAAGTAATTGCGTGTCGTACACTGGTATTTAGAGTCAAAGATCAGTATATGTGTGTGGGCCCAAACACCCCTTCCTTCTCTCCTTCGGAGAAGAATCCTGTGCTAACGGTTAAATAACTTTGTTTTCATACCGAATATTTAAGTTGCAGATGTGAGCCACACGGGCAGAGGTTTGAAATCAAGACAGCTGAACTGCCAAAGGTACTTTTGGAGTTCACGTTCAGCCGTTTGGATGAAACATAAACTGACTTCACGGGGAAGCATTCAAGTGGAGTTTTTCATCCCACGTATGATCTTGCCCTATTTATTTATTGACTTTTACTTCCAAGCCTTACCTGGGTCTGGCATTTCCCTTGGCACCCTCAAAGAGGTCCGGATCGTTATTGGCCCGTGTGAAGCACGGTGATGCGGGGATTACAGAAGAAGTTGGTTGCAACTTTTCAGTAGTGAGCACGTTAGTCACTTTTGAAGGGAAAATGTGAAGGTATTGTTTGTGTTTAAAGTGTTTGTTTTTCTAAGCACAAATCCCTTAGCAACTGTACGTGAAGACAGGTTTATTTCGGCAGAATTTGTGGTAAACAAGGGTGTTCGTTTATGACCAGGCGATGGTACGTGGAATGGTCTCGTTTGCAATTCACAGGCGTGGTATAACCAGGCCACGACCTTCCTGAGAGAGAGTTTGCCACTGTGTGTTTCCCTAAGGTGATTCCTGCTGCAGAGTGCCAGAGGTACACAGGTAGGCGTCCTCGCTCTGCCTCATCTAGGGACAGGCGGGCACCCTGTGGTCCAGAGTGCTTTGGGCTGAACCTTGGGTCCTGGAGGCAGGCCTTTGAGAAATGGCCCATCGGGGTAGATCAGGAGCCTCAGGAAGCAGCCTGGGCCCGGGGAGACCGAGATGTCCCCGATATCCCCCTTTGAATCGTTACTTTGGTGTCTCCTGATTCTGGTTGTTTTTTATGTTCATCCAGAGTCAAGTTTGGCAACTTATTAGCAACCAGAGAGATGTTTCTGTTGACCAGATGTTGCCTGAGGTGCTCATTAAAAATGCAGATTTCTGAGTCCAACCCCATGCTTTCCTGAACCTGGCTGGCTCTCCAGATCCTGGGGCCTGGGAACCTGCTTATCCCTCCCAGCTCCAACGACCTCCACCCAGGTTCTTAGGCAAATCCTATTATCCAGGGCCATATTTTCCAATTTTCCTTGATAAGGGTCACATGATGCTCTTACTAAAAATACAAGTTCCTGGGCCCCATCCCGGAACCACTGAATCAGGATCGCCAGAGGGGTGGGGCCTGGGAAGCAGGGAGAACGGAACCTAGTATTCCAGAAAACTTCAAATCCTAAGGCCAAAGTTGCCTGCTGGAAACCATCAGAGGGAAGAAACCAAGCCCCATCCGTGCCTTTGAAAGACTTTGCATCTGTTAATTAAAACATAAAACCAGCATGGGGAATTCCCTGGCGGTCCAGTGGTTAGGACTCGGTACTTTCAGTGCCAGGTCCGGGTTCAGTCCCTGGTTGGGAAACTAAGACCCTGCAAGCCGTGCAATGCAGGAAAAAAAAAAAAATTCAAAACAAAACCAGCGAAAGACTGAGGACGACCCAGGGTCTTTGGGCCCCAGGCAAGTCACATCGGAAATTTTCATAAGTTACTTTTACCTGTCCCATTTCTAAGAACTTCTGAAGCTTTCTAATTCCGCTAAGTTGAAGTCAGGATCTAAAATCAGTCCTTATTCTCCTGGTTAAAAGATTAGGGGCAACTTTAAATTTCTTTTCTTTTCACGAATTATTTCAAAAAGTATGTTTCGTTTGCTATGATTCTTCAAAAGCAAGCATCGCTTTTTATGCTTTTAAAGGAAAAAAATTTTTCTACACCTGTCGTCTCTCGTATCTTCTGATGTCTTCGACTTCATCAATATGTAAACCGTGAGCTTCTAAGTTTATTTTCTTTAGCTAATACTATCACAGTTAACCTTTTTTTTTTTTTGTGAGACCTCTGACATGTGGTTGATTATTGGTTTCTTAATTTGAAGATTTATGGGTGGCAAAATGCTGATTTTTCTTTTAAAAGAATGTAAACCTGAGAGACAAAACACAGAATTGTATATACCTGAAAAGAGATGTCCAGATCCCCTGTATCCTGCCGAGGAAATTTCATTGCATAAATGGGTTACTGTTAGTTGATGGAAAAACTAAGTTAACTGGAATCCCCAGTTCACCAATCGTGCCAGTTAACTGAGGTATTAGTGTCCTGTTTAAACTCTCAGAGCTATTAAATTAAATGGTCATGACACGAAACCTCAGAAAAGTCTTATTGTTGTCTAGAAAGATTGTGTACAGGTGTTACTAGCCTGCTTTAGAATAAAAAAGGCTTCAGTATTCTCAAAAATCATTTCCTCTCCTGAGGAAATGCACCATAGTAAAATAGCCTTCTCCAGTGCGGTAATTGCTGGCTTTCCGCTTCAAAAGAAAAATCCTTGAATGTTATTCAGGTTGCAGTTTCCATCAGACTTTTCTGAATAGATGATAATAATTTTGTGTTGGATTAATAAAATAATTCCAGAAAATAAAAGGAACCGTAACCCCTACAGACAGAAGTTGTGGGAAACATCTAGTTGCTTAAGAACATCGTTTTTAATTTTATAAGATGAGTACAGTTGAAGCTTAGGAAGTGAAAAGCGTATATTCTATCCATTATAAAAGCTCTACATTTGAAGCTGGTCTGGTGAATACTTTTCTTGCGTTTACACTTTTAACACCATGAAATGAAAACTCTGAGAATTCTGTTTCAAACACAGAAGGTTGACTATTGATCGAAAGGAAAAAACCTCCTTCAGTTAAGAAAAGTCATTTCTCTTTATCCACAACTTGTTGTCAGAGTAAAAGATATTATTTGATGGCAGCGGGTTTAGAAGTTACTACAGGCAGTCACGTGAGCTTCATAAAATACATTCTCTCAGATGCTTATCACCCGGGGTCACGTTCCATTTGGGGGTCTGACTGTGCACCCCTTTTTCCCTATTGAGGATACCTGTCTGATTTCCTGGACTACCTTATCCCCTGACACCCCTAAGTAGTTTCTACATCAAGCACCTAAGCTCTCTTGCTTCAGCCTGTGCTGGTTGGTGTCTTAGACATCCCTTAGGAACATGCAGTTCTTTATTTGGGTAAAGAAAGACAGATTCATCTCTATAAAGCTACTTTCTCATTTCATGTATTCAAATCTGCATTTCCTCTCCGAATCTCTCGTTTACCTGGGTAGGCTGCCATAGGTGAGCCAGGGGATCTCAGCTCTGCTCTTCTTGGCCAGAGAAGTTGGCCAGAGGCATGTGGAATAGAGAAAACAGCTTTCCTCTGGCTGACCTTTCTTCCTTTTTTTTTTTTTATAAATTTATTTTATTTTTGGCTGCATTGCTGCATGCGGGCTTTCTCTAGTTGCGGCGAGCGGGGGCTACTCTTCGTTGCAGTGCGCAGGCTTCTCATTGCGGTGGCTTCTCTTGTTGCGGAGCACGGGCTCTAGGCATGCGGGCTTCAGTAGTTGTGGCTCGCAGGCTCTAGAGCACAGGCTCAGTAGTTGTGGCGCACGGGCTTAGTTGCTCGTGGCATGTGGGATGTTCCCGGACCAGGGTTCGAACCCATGTACCCTGCATTGGCAGGCGGATTCTTAACCACTGCCCCACCGGCTAAGCCCCCGGCTGAACTTTCTTCACACTCTGATCAACAGCTAAGTCTAAGGATCAGGGAAATGTGGTGGATCGTTACGTTAATAAAACAGACACCTGGAGACACTTTCATTAATTTAAAAAAAGGATAGGGCTTCCCTGGTGGCGCAGTGGTTGAGAGTCCGCCTGCCGATGCAGGGGACACGGGTTCGTGCCCCGGTCCGGGAAGATCCCACATGCCGCGGAGCGGCTGGGCCCGTGAGCCATGGCCGCTGAGCCTGCGCATCCGGAGCCTGTGCTCCGCAACGGGAGAGGCCACAGCAGTGAAAGGCCCGCGTACCGCAGAAGAAAAAAAAAAAAAAGGATAGCTTCCAATTACATGCCTTCCTGTTGAAAACTTTCTTACCAGGCTTTAAAACAATGTAATGTTTGAAGGAATGTAATGGAATGAATGTGCGTAGCCTAGGATGTCAAAGAGGAGGAATTACAGTGAGAAAATATCAAGTACCAACCGAAATATTCTTAAATGTACAAAAACGTACAATAAATGTGTGGGAGTCTTGGGGTAGAGGGGAGAAAAGGGGGAAGCAGTGTGGGGCTTAGTTTCTGATGCGAGTGTGGGCAGGACCCCAGAGAGGGCTTTGCCAGGGGAAGGGGGTGGAGCTCTACCAGCCATCTATGCGAGACCCATACCTGAGCCTTTTTACCACTGTTAAAATCGCTCCAACAGACTGTCTGCTTCATATTTGCCAGCCTTAAAGTAGATTGTCGGTCCGCCTCCAAACGCCCCACCAAAATAGGGAATTTCCCCATTACTGGCGAGTCCAACAGACAAGTTTTATATAATCCCAGTGGAAGAAAAGCAAATATTATGCTGTCAAAACTTGCTTGAAATAATACCCAAGATGTCCAGAACCAGGCTCGTGGTCTTCTCCAGCCCTGCGCTTCTTTCTCTGTTTTCTAATTTGATGAGCAAGACCACCAAGTGCTCAGCTGCTCCAGCCAAATCCTCAGGAGTCGTGGCTGGCTCTTCCCTCCCGCCCCCCTGCATCCAATCTGATGCCCGGCCCTGTCGATTCTGCCTCCTGAGCGTCTGTGGAAAAGCCGTGCACGTTTCCTGCAGATACCTGCCATCCTCTGGGTCCCTCCTGTTGTTTCCTGACCCATCTCCCCGTCTCCCTCCCAACCTACCCTTCACACACTGAAGCCAGGACGCGCTTTGGAAACATGGGAACTTGCTTTTCCCAACCACCACTTCTCTCGA